TCCCCACCCCAAAAATTTTTTAAATCAGACAAAATTGACTTTAATACTTTAATAAGACAATAATGCTGTAAGCTTACTTCACTAAGAACAGCTGGCTGGGGACAGTATAATGGAGGAGCTGGAAGATACAAGCTGACAGGCACTAAGCCCCACAGGCTCTTACTGAAGTCCTTGGCAGAGTCCATCAGAAGCTGAAGCGTCTCCGAGACAATATCTGCATCAGCCATAGCCGATGCTTTCAGGACCTCCTGCACTGAACTAAAGAGCACATTTGCATCTTCTTCTTCAATAGGATCTATCAAACACAAAATTTGGTGAGCCAGTTAAAATTTGCATGAAACTTCTTATTTTAGTTTGTAAATCTGAAAAAGTAATCTGTTAAAAATAAAGATGCAGAGCATGGTACCACACGCTTATCATCCCGGTATTTAGGAGGCCAAGGCAGGAGGATCACCATGAATTTGAGGCCAGCCTGGGCAACATGGTGAGTTCAAGGCTGGCCTCAACTACACAGTAAGACCCTATCTTGGGCCAGTGAGATAGCTCAGTGGACTAAGCAACTGCGTAGGCAGGTGCAGAGACCAGCATTCGATCTCCGGTACCTTATGCCACACTGGCCCTACCTCTGGGGTACACTGAGCTGGCCACCAAGTCTGGGTGTGTGGTGGTACATGCCTGTAATCCCAGTGCTGGGGAGGCTGGAAACTGAAGATCACTATGAGTCTGAGCTTCATAGTGAGGCCCTGTACCAAATACATTTTTAAAAAAGACCCTGTCTAAAAAAAAAAAAAAAAAAAAAAAAAAAAAAAAAGAAAAAATATATGTATGTATGTCAAGATGCAAAACATCCAAGCTTATGAACAAAAATTCATGAAATGATTGTGTTATTTTAAAATTAAAAGGTCAGAGCATGAAATTTTTCTAGCGCTATCAAGATACTATAGTAATAACAATTACATGATAAAAATATGCATGAAACATAGTCCTGAAGCAGAAAGTAGTATAACAAGTAAAAAAATATTAATGAGAAAAAGAATATCAAGAAAGACATCAGAGGGCCAGCCAGATAGCTCAGCGGACTAAAGTGCCTTCTTACACAGATGCAGGGACCAGGGTTCGATTGCTGGTGTGCTGTGCTGGACCCCACCCCCAGGGCGTGCTGAGACAGTGATTGAGACTTGGTGTGCTGGCATTCACCTGTAGTATCAGCAATTGGGAAGCTAAAAACAGGAGGATCACTAAGTCTGACCTAGGTAGTAAGACCCTGTAGACCCTATACTAAATACATTTTAAAAAAAAGACATCACAATAATATGTAACATTGTGTGAAGGTATTGAGACAGTAATTTTAAAAGTTTATGATAAAACTCCTAAAATTTAATGAAAATTACTTGTGAAGTAGAAAAAAGAACAAAAATTATAGTAGGCATTTGTATAATATGGCTTCAACTATGAAAATATTTGTATATATAAGGGTGTGTTCTATAAGGCAAATTACAAGGAGTGAATACAACTGGATACAAGGGTTTTTTATATTTTGAAATATTTTGGGGCTGGTGGCTCAGTGGTCTAAAGACCTACTTAGAACAAGCTTAGCAAAGCACAGGGACCGCGGTTCAATCCTCCAGCACCACATGCCAGCCAGCCCCGCCCCCTGGTGGGCTGAGCTGGCCACACACACACAAATAAATAAATAAAAAATTAAAAAAAAAAAAAAAGAAATATTTTAAGCAAGTATACAAAAGGAGAAATATCGGGCCAAGGAGATGGCTCAGTGGAATAAGCACTTCCCCGGCACGCGCAAAGGCCTGAGTTCAATCCCCGGTTCTGCAAAAAAAAAAAAAAAAAAAAAAAGAGAAATATGTTCAATATTAACTTTTTTTTTTGGTGGTACCAGCACTCAAACTTAGTACCTTGAGCTTGCCAGTCAAAATATTCCACTGCGTTATCTCCCCAGTCCCAGTATTAACATTTTGTTATTCAATTTATTCATTTATTTATATTTTTGTGGTACCAGGGATTGAACTCAGGACCTTGCACTTGCCAGGCAGGTACTTAAGCCTCTGAGCTACATCCCTAGCCCTCAATTTATTTTTTAAATAAAGCATTATATAAATAGCTGAATTTCCTTGAGTACTAATCATATTCTACTCCTTACCTTCTGCAGAAGTAGCCACTACCTAGAATTTAGTGTAGACAGACTAGAATTCCAATTAGATACATATTGTGTCTTTCTGTTCTATATGCTACAAAGTATAATTTCTCTCACATTTTTCCAATCTTGGTTATCTCCTTGTATACTTTTTGTTTTGTTGTCTTTTTGAGACAGGGTCTCACCATGTAGTTCAGGCTGGCCTTCAATGCACCATGTAGTCCAGGCTGGCCTCAAACTTGGAGCAACCCTCTTGCCTTGGCCTCCTGAGTGCTGGGATTACATGTGTGCACCACTGTGCCCAACTACAGTAGTACGTATGTATCTATCTATCTATCTATCTATCTATCTATCTATCTATCTATCTATCTATTTATCTATCTATCTGTATATATTTTATGTCTCAGATTCGCTTGTCAGTCCTTTGAGATATCTATAATACTGGTCTAATAACTTATGCTACTTAATTGGGCTCATACAATATGTAGTCCTTTTGTTTGACTTTCTTCATTTAGTATGTTTTAACATGTTCTAAGTAGCTTGTTCCTCTTCAGTATTTACCGTATCATTTTAAAGAAAAACTGCAATTTGTTTTTCTATTCACCAACTAATGGACATTTGCGCTACTTTTAAATTTTGGCCATTATGAAAAGGCTGCTATAAACACTTATGCACAGACGTTTAGGTGGACTTACGTTTTACTTCTTGAGTAGATACATAAGAGTGGAATCCTTTGCATTTGTATTTGCTCTTTGTTTCAAATCTCTGTAAATCTCCCCTTTGTGAAAGAACGGCCTTTACACAGATTTTTCAAATTTTATCTAGAATGTACTGTCTATAGATTGCCTATACACCTTGGATAAAATGTAGTGTATACCTATGTGTTTATTATGGGAGA